AGATGTTTCATATCCAATGAAATTAAATTTTAACTGAACCCAAATGCTCACCATTTAGCCAGTAATATAAAATAACAGACATACAGAAATGTTTTCCACATTTATTTTTTCAATATAACATAGAAATGTTATAATTGAGGACTGTGGTGTGACTGTGGTTTGGATTTTTCTTGATGATAAACTGAAAGCCTCCCTGCTATGGACCTGACATTGGTGTCCCCACCTTAAGTTTGTATGTTGAAATCCTAACCCCTCATGTGATGGTATTAGGAAAGGGGTGTTGGGAGGTCATCAGATGATAATCTCTTATGATGGTGCTATTGTGTTCATATTTTAAAAAAACGTCAGGAGAGCCTGCTTTTCCCCTCTGTTCTTTGCCACATGAAGATACAACCTGAAGATAGCCCTCGGCAAACCAGGAAGCAGGCCCTCACCAGATACCAGCTCTGCTAGACACCTTGATCTTGGGCTTCTAAGATTCCAGAACTATGAGAAATAAATGCTGGTTTTTTTTTCAAGTCACCCAATCTATGCTAATTTGTTACAGCATAGATAATTCCTAATTCAAGACACTTTTATAAGCTCTTATACTGGGCTGAGGAATTAGAGCAGTAAGCTGGACATTAAGATCTACGAGATTTGTTCTATCTCAAAAAATTCTAGTTTCCTGGTGTTATCAAGACCTCAGTTCTGACTCATCAACTCAGACCTGAATTACCTCAGCAAGATCTTGGCCGATTTTTGGTTCTCAAGACAAACAGTATGCATATATTAGAATAACCTGAGAAGCTTTTCCAGGAACAATGCTCAGAGCTACACAAAATGATTTTGATTTAGTTGGTCTGAACTGGTATCTGAGGGCAACAGTATTTATTTTTAGAGCCTCTCTAGGTAAATCTAATGTGCAGCTATAGCTGAGAACCATTTTTTGAGCCTCTCCCCAGATCATCCAATATACAATCACCACTTTTATTTTCCAAAAATGTCACCCTCATGAGAACTCCCCTAATCAAGAGTTTATTCTCACCATCAATTTTAAACTTCTGACTAGCTTCCCAACCTACTTAGCTGCCTTTGTTCTCTGCAGGTGCAGTTGAGTGGCAAGGGGTTATGGCTCCAGCTCAAGAATGCCTGTGTTTTTAGCTCTGTTATTACTGTACGAACCTGGGAGAGTCATAAAAGCTTTCTGTGTGGAGAAATAATACTATCCTTTTCATAGGGTTATTGTGAGGATTAAATCAGTTAATACAAGTAAAGTGTTCCACAAATTTAGGTATTATCACTACTTATCCAACTTTATTTCCTACTACTTTCCAAAATAAACTCTCATCATAAATCATTCTCAAATTATACACTAATTCTCACCTCTGTGCTTTAGCATATACTGTTTCTTCAGGCTGGAATCCTTTCTCAATCATTTATTGCAACAAAAATAAAAGCACAGCTCCCCTTTTGCCAGGACCCAGCTTAGTCTCTCCCTACCTCCACAAAGCCTTCAGTTAATATCTATAAATATTAACTGCTCTCCGGCATGGTGGCTCAAGCCTGAAATCCCAGCACTTTGGGAAGCTGAGGTAGATAGATCATGTGGTCAGGAGTTCAAGACCAGCCTGGCCAACATAGTGAAACCCCATCTCTGCTTAAAAAAAAAAAAAATACAAAAATTAGCCCACCAGGGTGGCAGGTGCCTGTAGTCCCAGCTACTTGGGAGGCTGAGGCAGGAGAATTGCTTGAACCCGGGAGTCGGAGGTTACAGTGAGCCAAGATCATGCCACTGCACTCCAGCCTGGGCAACACAGTGAGACTTTGTCTCAAAAAATATATATATTCACTGATCTCTTCCTTTTAAAAATTCCTTTGGCCACAGGTAGCATACTATGAGAAATATGGCTGAAAGTTAAAAACATTGGCTCAGAGTTTGAATCATTACTCTGGCATTTGGCAGTTAAGTCATTTCTTTAATCCATATTGTTAGGATTACTTAATAAGTGACTTAAATCATGTAAAGCATTAGAGCAGCAAATAGCAAAAATCTAGTAAGTGTCAGTTCTTATTCATTGTCTTATATGTTAGTCTTCAATTATAGTCTACACACTATGACTGAAGTCTCCTTAAGACAGGTGTTTTGAATCACTTGAAATCAAGAACTATGTCTATTATAAATTTCACAACTCAAAACATGATAACAATTATCTATATTAAGTGACCAATATTAGGTGATCTATACTTGAATAAACTTTTTGCATCATGTGGAAAGTATAATTGAAGCAATATTCTGGAAAAAACATTTTTGATGAATAGAAACAAATACTCAACAAAACAGGGAAGGAACGCAAATAAAACACAGGCTACAGAGACGGGTCAAAGTAATTTGATACTTTTTAAACATTCGATAACAGGTTTCTGTAAGATTCATCTTCTGAAAGGTCAGTTCCAATGATGTCTTTTATCTATCCCAAATCCTTTAGATTTTTATCATTTCCCAAAAAATAAATACCAAAATTCTTAGTCTGACATTCAAAATCATCCATGGCCTGACCTCAAACTAGACTTCTAATCTCTCTCATCTTTCCCTTTTGAAAACTCTATTCTTCTAAATAAACAGAATTACTTGGTCTTACTCATCTATACCATTTGCTTTTCTGCCCCCACATAATATTTAATATTTTAAAGGGAAATATTTTCAAAGAACACTACTGTAAAGGTTTGTCACAGGAACAGAGTGGTATTAGAAAAACATGCGCTCATATATCAAAAACTTAACGCTCAATTTAAGAGCATTAATCTCTTTCTTGCCACTCTCACAATATAGTCTTTGGTTTACAAAAAAAAAAAAAATTGAACATCTTTTCCCCAAACTATTGTCACTCTCCTAACATCAAAAGCCTTTGCCATCATGTCCTGAAAGAGAGAAGTTTGAATCATGGTCTCCAAGCAGCACTTACAGACCCCAGGGAATACAAGATATTCATTGAGTAAACAAAAATAATTAGAGCTTCTGTTTTATACTTACTCTCTACTCAATTTGAATTTCTTTCATTGTGTAGGTCTCATAATTCACATCAAATATTACTAGAAATGTAGTCTCTTTATATAATTTATAAATAATCAAGAATTAGGGCTATCAGAATATCTGTGGTTTTAGAAGTAGGCCACAAGCTGCCAGTTTATATAAATCTAAGGATGGATCTAAAAATGCACTATGTATTGTTTATATAGAACAAATATGTTTTAAGTTCTAACTAACTTTCAAGGAAATATTAAAATGTAACTGACTGGTAATCTGGAGATAGCATATATCTGTTTCAGGTTTTTGAACAAACGATTTTGTCACAACATTAAAGTTACTATTATAAATATTTCATTAACATAAAAATTTCATTTGGTAAAACCTACAGGTATTTACTCCAGTACATATACAACTGTTCATAATTATTCATAAAGAATTTTTATTGAGGCTAATAGGATGTTTTTACAAAAAAGAGTGAAGCCAGAAAACAATATGAAACCAAAAAAAGCAGGCCTAGGAGGTAGGACTAGCTATGGAATCAGATTAGCAAGTGCTATCCCAGGAAACAGTGTCACAGCTCACTTTAAGTAACTAAATTAAGTAAATGTCCTCATAATGGACAGCCACTATACTTAGGAATTTTCTTTTCAGTATTCACAAATAATATGACATACTTAACACAGTTTACTCTATTACTTTTGAATAAAGTATGATATATCTGTAACAAAATTAAGTTCTAAAAGTAAAGATTCCTTATCAGAATAATATATTTCCTTTTATATCAGTACATACTATAAATCCTTCTTCTAAAGGACAAAAAGTAGGTTTATAAGTCTTCTTTTTTTTTTTTTTTTTGAGACGAGGTTTCGCTCTTGTTACCCAGACTGGAGTGCAATGGTGCAATCTCGGCTCACCGCAACCTCCGCCTCCTGGGTTCAGGCAATTCTCCTGCCTCAGCATCCTGAGTAGCTGGGATTACAGGCACACGCCACCATGCCCAGCTAATTTTTGTATTTTTAGTAGAGACGGGGTTTCATCATGTTGACCAGGATGGTCTTGATCTCCTGAGCTTGTGATCCACCCGCCTCAGCCTCCCAAAGTGCTGGGATTACAGGCATGAGCCACTGCGCCCGGCCCCGGTTTATAAATCTTAATATTAAACTGATTTACTCGCTATAGTTTTTCTTGCTATTTTATTAATATAAAAATCCAAATGAGAGAGAATCACCCATGGCCTGACCTCAATCTATCCTTCTAATCTTATCTCCCCTCTTTCCTCTTTGTTAACTCTGTTATTCCTAATAAATAGAACCACTTGCTCTTACTCAACTATATCATCTGCTTTTCTGCCTCATATAACCTTTAATATTTTATATGACAATATTTTCAAAGAACACTATAATAACGGATTGTCACAGGAATTAACTCACGCTTTAGATTCTGAGCTTATCAAAGAGAACCCTCCTGGGATTTGCATAATATTATAAAAATATGCAGACTGAACTTCCCACATTCTCTCCTACTATGACTTAAGGAGTAGGTGAGGAAACTATACATGTGGCTCCGCTCTGTTTATCTTCTTTAAGATGGTGTTAGATTTAGTTCACAGAGAAAATGGGGGAGACAAGACTGAGTTCATAGAGAAAATGGGGAGACAGTCAAAATGAAGATTTCTGTCTTTCTTTGGGAACCAACATCATTATGCCAAGTAATGGAATATAACAACAACAACAACAAAACTAAAAATCCATGTGTTTTAAGAAAGAGTCTAAATGTAGAGAGATTGTCAAGTGATGTCTCAAAGCACTCCTTCCCCTACAGATGCACTGAGAAGAAAACCCGAAAGAACATCAGGAAAAAAGAACAATTAAAAAAACTGACATCTTATACTGGCAGAATCTGATAATGCACCACATCTGATGCCTCTTAGGTGTACATACTGAACTGGCAAAGACAGACACATTGTCTTCATTCCCCCCACCTTACTTACTACACTCTGGCTTCCATTTTTCCCAAGTTCTTCCTCTGAAATCTTGCTCAAATTATCTAAGTAGTGGTCTGATATTGTGTGGCACAAGTCTTCAAATGAATAATCCTTTTCTTGACAGAGTTTTATTTCATCCAAGAGTTTTGATAATTCTCCAGTAACGGTTTCACCTATGAGAATAATTTTTTCAGAAGTTTCAAGAAAGGCTATTGCTAAAACTTAATGTTAAGCAATAAAAATATGATTGCTATGGTGATAGAACTCAAAATATAACAAGATTAGGCAGTCAGACACTATTCTGCTAAAAACAAGGTACTCAACTATAATTAGAACAATATTAATAGACAAAAGAGATCATAATTCTGCCTATTTTCCTTCATTTTCAAAATATAAATAATTATTGCAAGATTATATATATATAGTACATAAAAGAATCTGAAATTCCAATTCACAAAGTTTCATTTATTATAGGATTTCATTTCTATAATCTTTTCTTGGTACTTTACTTCACTGACAGAATTCATCAGCAAATTTGAAATGGTGCTGAGAACCTTCTTTCCAGGTTCAATAAACAGAAATAGAAATAGTACAAATTATTTAAACAAATAATGATATAGGTAATCATTACATTAAGAATTATGGTATATGATATAGAGCAAAAACACAGAAGAAACAAATAATATGCATCATCTGTCAAACATGAAGATTTTGTAAATTATATGTAAATATGTACATTTCTAAACAGTCTCAGAAAGGTTCCTTAAACCTACAATTTATTCTGAAAAAAATTTCTAGCAGTTACAATCCAGATTTTAATATTTTTATTCTGACTTAAAAACACATTTCAGATCAGCTGACTATAGATACATGAATTTATTTCTGGTCTCTATTCTGTTTTATTGGTATATATGTCTGTTTTCATGCCTGTTTTGATTACTTTAGCTCTTCACAAGGGTTCCAAGAACACAAATGTGGAAAAGATGGTCTGTTCAATAAATAGTGTTGGGAAAGTGAATGTCCACATGCAAGAATGAAATATGACGCTTATCTCATAACCTATGTAAAAAATGAGATAAAAACTAGAAAATTAACACCTGAAAATATAAAACTCCTAAAAGAAAACATAGGGAAAAAACTTCATGTTGGTTTGGACAGCGATTTTTTGGATACGAACAAAAGCAAAAATGAACACATGGGATTCCATCAAACTAAAAAGCTTCTCCACTGCAAATGAAACAACAGACTAAAAAGGTAACTCAAAGAATGGGAGAAAATATTTGCAAACCATAGATCTTGTAATGGGTTAATACCCAAAACACATAAGGAATTCACATAACACAATAGCAAAAACACAAATATCCTAATTTCAAAATGTGCTAAGAACCTGAATAGACATTTCTTCAAAAAAGCACATAAATGGCCCAAAGTATATGGAAAAGTGCTCAGCATCACTAATCATCAGGGAAATATAAATCAAAACCACAGGTGGTTATCACCTCACACCTATTAAAATGGCTATTCTTAAAAAGACAAAAGATAGGAGGTGTTGCTAAGGATGTGGCGAAAGGGAACCGTGTATGCTGTCAGTGGGAATGTAAAATGGTATAGCCACTATGGAAAACAGTATGAAGATTCCTCAAAAAATTAAAAATAGAATTACCATATGATTCAGGGTTCACACTTTGGGGTGCTTATTTAAGGAAAATGAAACCAGTATCTCGAAGAGATAGCTGCACCCTTCTGTTCACTGCAGAATTATTTTGAACAGCCAAGACATGAAAACAACTTACGTATCCACTGTCAGATAAATGGATAAAGAAAATGTAATGTGTATATACATTCATATACACACTACACAAATAATAGACTATTATTCAGCCTTAAGAAAAAAGATCCTACCATTTGTAACAACATAGATGAACCTAGAGGACATAATGCTAAGTGAAATGAACCAGGCACAGAAAGACAAATACTGCATGATTCACTTACATGTGGAATCTAAAAAAGTCAAAGTCATAAACAGAGAGTAGAATGGTGATTGCCAGGGGCTGAGGAGTAAAGGAGATGGGAAAGCGTTGATCAAAGGTACAAAGTTTTAGTCATGGGGGATTAATAAATTCTAGAGATTTAAAGTACAGCATGGTGACTATAGTTAATAATATTCTATTGTATACCTGAAACTTGCTAAGAGAGTTGATCTTAAGTGCTCTCTCCACCAAAAAAACAAAAAACAACCACCATGCTATGTGAGATGATGGGTAAGAAAATTAGCTTGATTCTGGAAATTATTCCAAAATGTATATATCAAGTTGTACACTGTAAATATATACAATTTTTATTTGCCAGGTATACCTCAATAAAGCTGGGGAAAAACACATTTAAGAAAAAAACATATTTATATAAGCTTCACTATAGCAGGGATAATTTTCTGCTTTGCTCACTACTGTATCTCAGGACTGAGAAGCCCTAACCAACAACAGGTGCTCTTATAAATGGATAAAATATAGAGTACAGGATATAACCTATTAGACTTGAAATTTTCACAACTGTACATACGAGTCTAGTATAGTTTCCAGGGCTTTGTAATGAGGCACTCACTTTTGGTCTTTTGGGAAGGAGACTCGACAGGAGATGAAATGTGTGTTTCCTGTGTTGCATCTTCCTGTACAGGCTCTTCAAGAACTGTAGATCTTCCCATGCCTTCTAAATACTCTGTATGTATACAATTTTGAGATTACATACTTGAATTCGTTTAAAATCAATAAATTTTATGTTTTACTTCTGGTGATCAGTTTTTCATTTATTTTCCTTTATCCTAAATATATCCTAAGTTTTCAAAAGGACTTCAAAACAACCAAACATGCAAAAGAATGTCATGATGAGTTATTTACTTAAAATTTTTAATTTTAAAAAAGACACTCAATTCTTTGGGAGAATCTCTTGAACTCCTTTCTTCCAAAAACGAAACTTAACACATTCTTTCCTTAAAAATAAATTCTGCTATTGAAGATACAATAAACTCCTTGGTCTCCTTAAATATTTTCCATCTGAAGATTTTAAACTATCTGAAAGATGATTTAAACAGATTTTATCACTAAAATAGGAATGTTGAGTTCATATGGAAACAACCACAAGCCAGGTAACATAAATGAATGAAATGGAATAAGTTTATTTTAAAATGGTGCTATAATCTTGTAAGATAAGCATAATTTGCATATTAACTTTATTTCCACAAAGAAATAATGTTCATTGCCATTATTCTTGAAGTAATGTTCTATACTCAGCCTATCTTTCATTTTTCTAGTGTGGATAAAATATAATATTAGGAATAGCACCTTAAACTTAAATATTGCTTATTATGGACCCAGCATTATTCTAAGTATATTCTATAAATTGACTCATCTAATCCTTACAAAACTATGACACATGCACTAAGTTTTAAAGATTACAAGTAAAGGAGGAGTATTATTAACTTGTCTGTGTTCATTCAGCTAATGAGTGGCAAAGCCAATAAGTATAAGGTAAGAAAACATATCACTTTTCTCTTCATCATAAAGAAAACAGCATCTGACTGTAGACATAAATGTTCACCGATATTCAGACTCACAGACCATGTTTAACCAGAGAACTAATGACCAATGTAAAGTTCATCCCTGAAACGAAACAAAACTTTTTGAGAAACCAAAGCTCCAGAGTTTGAGCTAAAATTCTAGATGATTTTTTTTTTTTGAGATGGAGTCTCACTCTGTCACCCAGGCTGGAGTGCAGTGGCGTGATCTCAGCTCACTGCAACCTCTGCCTCCCAGGTTCATGCGATTCTCCTGCCTCAGCCCTCCAAGTAGATGGGACTACAGGCATGTGCCACCATGCCTGGCTAAATTTTTTTGTATTTTTAGTAGACACAGGATTTTGCCATGTTGGCTAGGCTGGTCTTGAACTCCTGGCCTCAAAATCACCCACCTCAGTCTCCCAAAGCACTGGGATTACAGGTGTGAGCCACTGTGCCCAGCCATATTCTAGATTTTTAAATGTTAACTAATTCAAATTTTATAGAAACACAATGTAGGCCCAAAATATGTGATATAAACGAACCATGTCTGCTGTCTACCAAAGTGTTCAGCCCACAAGTGGCTAGTTTATAGCCTCTGTATAAAGATTAAATTAATAGATCCCTTTTCATACCAATCATTTGCTTATACTTCGTTATTCAGGATGCACCTTTTTCTTAAAATATAATTAAGAAAATTTGTACTCTCATACCAATAAAGTATGTCCTCATACCATTCAAATAGTTTCTACCAGGGAAATCCAGGATTGCAAATAACAGAGATGATGTGTTCACATTCTGAAATTTGCCAGTAATTAGAAAACTTCAAAGATGTCCCATATCCCTATCACAAACTGACATACCTAATAAATCTCGACCATTTAGGAGAAGAAAGATAGTTACTCCTATATAACAATATTTCATCTTAGATAAACCAATGCAGTAAATTTTTTAAAAGTCCATTATTATGTCACATCCCCTTTTCTAGTAGGTAATATTTATTTTGCTTTTCCCAAAAGACATATTATGCACATGCTTCAGTTTTTAAAAGTTCAGTGAGAGGCTGGGTGCAGTGGCTCATGCCTGTAATCCCAGCACTTTGAGAGGCCGAGGCAGGCAGATCACCTGAGGTCAGGAGTTTGAGACCAGCCTGGCCAACATGGTGAAACCCCCTCTCTACTAAAAATACAAAAATTAGCTGGACATGGTGGCAAGCATCTGTAATCCCAGCTACTTTTGAGGCTGAGGCAAGAGAATCACTTGAACCCAGGAGGTAGAGGTTCCAGTGAGCCGAGATCGCACCGCTGCACTCTAGCCTGGCTGACAAGAGCAACACTCCATCTCAAAAAAAAAAAAAGTTCAGTGACAGCCAAAAGTCCAATATGAAATATAAAGTGCCTAGAGGGGGAAGACTGATAAAAATAGTATATGCCACTCTTTTTTTTTTTTTAGCTTTTATTCAATTTAATTTTAATTTATATAAAAGGCTGTGGTTGGATCTTTCTCTGATCCAGCTCTGTATGGATTTATTTGACTTACAATTAACTTCTTTATTGATAAGAAAATTCTAGGGGCCCGAACTTCCCTGAAATGTTTTGATGTTTTGGAAATAGAGAAGAAAGCATAATGGCCACATACAGTGCATCTGTTCTTTTTACTCCTCTGTGGCCTTTGTTGACTCCTGTATCTACATGTTCCCTGCCTGACTTGGTTTCAATTCATTTATCTCCCTGCAGAACAATGCTGTTCTTCAACTTCCCAACTGACACCTAATAAAACCTATCCCAGCACCCTCCTTTGTCATACTTGCAGCCAATCCATAACAAGTGTAGGAGATAATCACTGCTGAACAGGGTAAGAGCTAACTAGAAAGAAGAGAAAAAACATCTGGGTTTTTTAGGTAACATGCTGCATGTCATGCCTAATCACCAAACAGGAAGGGAAAGCATTTAAATCTAAATTTTTTGTAAAAGTTTTAGTTCAAACGGAGAAGTATGCAATGCTGCAAATAACAAAAGTCGTACCTAGAGAGTTGTCAAACCTTCAATAGAGCTAACAACTGCCACTAACAACAAACGTACTTAAATGACCTTTACCAAAAACAAAGGCTGGTAAGACTGAGTTATTTTATAAATTGGATTAGGAAGGAAATAATCTGTATTCTTGTGGCTAAATACTATTTTTGTTATTTTTGTTAATCCAACATTTAGATACAAGCTCTGCCATTTAAGATACATGAATTTGAGCAAATCAAATCTCTCAGAGCCTCAGTTTCCCTTATGTGTGACAAGTAAAATATCTGACTTATCTTACTACATAGGGTCATAGAAACCAGACAAAGTAGTAGCAAATCCTGAAAACACTGAAAGTATTATTCAAATGTGAGCTAATACTTAATCATCACTAGTTTATAGTGTTATTAACCTCCAGCTCATAACTACATATTTACTACATAAACAAGAATTTTAAAAATATTTTTAATATCAAATGAGTAAATAAATACATTAACTTCTTTAAAATAACAAGTATTTGAAAAACAAAAATAAAAAATTAAAAGGTATTATTTAGTTTAAAAGTCTACCAGAAAAAAATAAAACTAGTTAAGTTTGTTCAAAAGTAAACACTAACTCAAAATTCAGAAGAAAACTACAACAGTTTCAATTTCATCTTGACTTTAAGGCAAACTCATCCATCATTCAATACGTTTACCTTGTAAGAGCGTTGCAATCTGGAGAGATTTCTGAGATGGATGTTCTTTCAGAATGTCCAAAACAGTTCTGCCTAAGCTATCCTTTATGTTGGCATCAATTCCTGAAAGAAAAAGAAAAACCCACTAGATGTACACCGCTGAAGTGTCCTCAGAAGATACTATCAGTATCTAACTGCTATAATTTGAAACATACACAGACCAAGAACTAAAAATGTTATTAAAAAAATTAAGTTCTACATACACCACAAACACATGCAAGATTTTACCAAGGAAGAAGGGGAGGCCTTTTGCTACCAAAGATTAGGAACATTCTTGATCATGAATTAACTCTTAAAGGGCACTGATCCAATGCTTAAGATTGTTTTTCAGGACTCTATGGCATCTTTGGGTTATAACTACTTAACTAAACAGCACACTATTACACTAAAAAAAAATTATTGATTTAGAATGTGAATTCCTAAAGTATAACGGTCATGCGATTTATATACTCTGTATAATAAGGTAAAAATACTTAGTAAATGATAATCATGTACCATGTAAGTAATATAAGAATAGTCTTAGAACACTTGAATATCCACAAAGTTGAAAAAGCATGATTATTTTTAACTGTAGTCCACATGGAATTTATCCAAATACATGGTCAAATACTCCATGATATTTATTTATGCAAGACTAGATTCATCAGCCACACTCATCATCCACCTGATGAGCAAACTTATTGAAGTGTGTAACTAAAACACCTGTTATTCTTTTAGTTGTGAAAATATATAGTGTATGAAAGAACTTATTTTAATGTAGCAAATCGCTTTCACTGCCCTAAAAAAAGTATGACTTTTCCAAATACATAATTGAAAAAAAAAAAAGCCCGTTTACAGGATCTGGTCCCAAATTTTAGTTCATTGTAAGATTATTTAATACATGTTTAAATGTGTATAGGAATGTGTGACCAGCACATACTAACATTGAGGTGGTTTCCTCAAATCGCTTGTTATATCACCACACTGCATGTCAAAGTTAAATATAAATAAAATTTTAACTTTGTTAACTTGTGTACAAATACAATCACAACAGTCTGCCAATGTCTTTCATTTTACTTTTTTACAGAGGAAAATAAACTCACTATAGTCCATAACATGAAAAACTTCCATCAGTTATTTACAAGCATCAATGTGTATCCATGCCTTACAATCTTTAAAAAAAAAGTCTGACCTCAGTTCTACCTTTATTTCATTTCAATAAGAATGTACATATAAAAATAAATAAGCCAACTTTATTTTTCCTTCAAAGCATTCCCTTTAAAAGACTCCCTTTATAATAAGTCTCCATAGCCTAACAATAGGTACTTAGTTAATGAACTTACTAGAAGGACGATTTACCTTAGGAGAGGAAACTCAAATCTTTGTTTACCCTAGTTCACAATATAAAACCTAGGAAAATTATTATGTTTTCAATAAACCAAGCACTTATGACAATTTCTCAGGGATCAATTCCTCTCTCTTACAGAAGGAAGAAATTTCCTTTTCTTTAAGTAGTTTATCTCTAAAGTACTTAAATGCATAAAATTGTAATAACTAAGAGGTTTGTACTTAAACATCTATTGCATAAAGGAAGGTGCACATTGATATCAATGTTACCTAAATACTGAAGCTCAGTTCTACGTAATATGAATACATATCTGCAATGTAGAGCAAAGGCAAGAGGGTGATCTGTGAAGAAAACGGTGTCATTTTCCTTTGTCTATTCCCAAAATAGAAATGGTATATGGCAGGATAAGCTCCATGCAGAATCACAACAGTTACCTGTTTCTAACAGAACTCGTACAACATCCACCTTTCCAAACAAAGCTGCTTCATGAAGTGCACTCCCCTTTTCTGTCTGGAAAAAAGAAGAAAGAAAAAAGAAAGCACGATTGCATTTGGAATGCTTACAGGTTAAAAAAAAAAATCTCACATTTTATATATTCATACTTATTTTCTGTAATCTCAGCCCTCCCTAACAGAAAGATAATGTGGAATAAAGAAGAGATTCTAAAAGCAAAATCCATCAGTTTGGGTTTGTAAAACATCTCTGCTTCTAAATGACAATTTGGGCGGGGCCCAGTGGCTCGTGACTGTAATCCCAACACTTCCAGAGGCTGAGGCAGGTGGATCACCTGAAGTCAGTAGTTCAAGATCAGCCTGACCAACATGACAAAACTTCATCTCTACTAAAAATACAAAAATTAGCCACGCATGGTGGCACATGCCTGTAATCCCAGCTACTCAGGAGGCTGAGGCAGGAGAATCTCTTGAGCCCAGGAGGTAGAGGTTGCAGTGAGCCAAGATCATGCCATTGTACTCCAGCTTGGGTGACAGAGTGAAACTTCATCTCAAAAATCAGTAAATTAATAGCCATTTGACTTTTTATGTTAGTAAGCCACTCACCTTCTCTTAGCTTCAGCTATCCTTAAGTATAAAATAAGAGTAGTAATGCCCACCTCACAAGGCTTTTGTGACTATGCAAGAAGCTCTTTTAATCAGCATGCATTTGTTTAACATCAATTATAAGCCAAGAGTAGTTGAAGGATGTTCTGAGGTATGGAAATGTCATCCTGGCCCTCATATATTCACATTCTATTTGAAGAGACAGATGTATAAGCACAGATGCTCCTTGACTTCCAATAGGATTACCTCCTGATAAAGCCACCATAAATTGAGTATCCCATAAATTGAAAATGCATTTAGGCCAGGCGCAGTGGCTCATGCCTGTAATCCCAGCACTTTGGGAGGCCGAGGCAGGTGGATTGCTTGAGGTTAAGAGTTCAAGACCAGTCTGGCCAACACAGTGAAACCCTGTCCCTACTAAAAATACAAAAAAAAAAAAAAAAAAAAATAGCCAGGCATGATGGCATGCACCTGTAATCCCAGCTACTCAGGAGGCTGAGGCAGGGGAATTGCTTGAACCAAGGAGATACAGAATGCAGTGAACTGAGATTGCACCACTGCACTCCAGCCTGGGCAACAGAGAGATACTCCATCTCAACAATAAAAATTTAAAAAAAGGAAAAGAAAAGAAAATGCATTTAAACATACTTAACCTACCAAACATCGTAGCCTAAACCAGCCTACTTTAAACATGCTCAGAATACTTACATTAACCTAGATCTGGGCAAAATCATTTAACACAAAGCCTATTTTACGATAAAGCACTGAATATCTCATATATACTGCATAACACTAGCCTGGGAAAAGATCAAGATTCAAAATCTGAAGTATATCAAAATTGTGACAGTTTCACACCATTTTAAAGCTGAGAAATTGTTAAATCAAATCATTGTAAGTTAGGGGCTGTCTGTAAATATTTATGATAAATGAAAGCTAAACAATTTAATGTAGCCATAAAAAAGAATCAAATCCTGTCATTCACAGCAACATGGATGAGCCTGGAGAATATTATGTTAAGTGAAATAAGTCAGGCACAGAAAGATAAATACCACATGTTCTCACATATGTGTGAGCTAAAAAAAGTTGAGCCCATAGAAATAGAGAGTAACATTATGGTTATGAGAGGCTGGGCAGGGGAGCAGGGAGAGAAGACTAGAGAGAGGTTGGTGAATGGCTACCAAGTTACAGCTAGATAGGAGGAAGAAGTCCTAGTATTACATGGTACGGTGATGATAGTTAATGATAATTGATTATATATTTTCAAATACTAGAAGAGGAGTTTTGAATGTTCCTGACACAAAGAAATGGCAAATGTTTGAGGTAACAGATATGCTAATTACCCTGTCTGTCATTACATAGTGTATTTCATGTATCAAAATGTCACTCTGTACCCCTAAATATGTACAATTATTACATATCAATTAAAAGTAAAAATAAATTAAAAATCAAAAAAATAATAATTTAATGTGGCTTACAAAACCCAGATGATATTTTCTCCCTGCTTTCCTCTTCGTTCCACCTTTTGAGCATCATAACCCTCTTCCAGACCCCTTGCCTATGCTCCAGGCATGCTGAACTCTTTCATAATCATTTCATATTGCTTTCTTCCACAGGGGTCTCAAAAGCTGGTTTCTCTGCCTTGCAGGATCTAACTCCTAGCCTTCTTAATCTAGTCATCTAGATATACCACTAGTTGATTTTCAGCAAGAATAAGAATCATCTGGAGAGAATGTTGAAAAACAGAATTCTGGGCCCCTCCCCAGAGTTTCTCATTCAGTAGCCTGAGATTAGGCCCGAGAATTATCATTTCTAACAAATTCCCCTATGATTCTGAAAGTCTAAAAAGTATGTTTTGAGAACCATGAACCTGTACTGTATGTTGAATCTTAACTTAATTGCATTTATAAACACATCCCTGCCCCTCAAGTTTAGTGCTTTTCCTGGGGGTTCCATATCAATCTATATTTTCCTTATCATAGCACTCATAATACCACATTATAATTTTATGCAATTATCTAGCTCCCATTATAAACTATAAGTTCAGTGGAAACGTAGGCAACACCTATTTTTTTTCACCATTGTACCTCCAATGCCTAGCAAGTACTTTGAAAATGTAGATGTTTAGGAATTCTCCTGAGGGCAAAAAGTAGAGGGAGGGAAAAACACAGGATGAAAAACAAGGACAGTTTGTGAGTAGTGCAGGATGAAACTGATTCTACCTTGAGGAAGATCAAGGAAGAATTCAAAGATAATACTTTTTGGGCTATAAAATACAAATGCTAGTTGTCTCTTTTTTTCATTCTTTTTCTACTTCTCTCAAGAATCTAACAAGTATCAGTAAGTCGTGTGTGTGTGTGTGTGTGTGTGTGTGTGTGTGTGTGTGTGTTCAACTGAATAGTGTCAAGGTAGCAATTTTGTCGCCTTTTACTAAATGTGATCTCTAATTTGGGATTCTAATCTCAACCTGAAATAGAAATATCACTATAACATACAATGTAAAAACTTTTTTTTTAGATGGAGTCTTGCTGTATCACCCAGTCTAGAGTGCTGTGGTGTGATCTTGGCTCACTGCAACCTCCATCTCCCAGGTTCAAGTGATTCTCCTGCCTCAGCTTTCTAAGTAGCTGAGATTAAGGTGTGCACCACCATGCCCAGCTAACTTTTCTATGTTTAGTAGCGATTCCATTTCCCCAAGTTGGCTGTGCTGATCTTGAACACCTGACCTCAAATGATCCACCCACCTCAGCCTCCCAAAGTTCTGGGATCACAGGCAAGAGCCTCTGTGCCTGGCCAAAACTCTTCAGTAAAAGTCTATTATATAATTAAACCCAATCTAAAGTAGTTTGTAAGTACATTACTAAGGAGGTTTGAGGAACACTGACTATCAATGTGGTCTGAATTTATCTTCAGGATGGCATGATTGAAATGCACTTGAAATATAATGTACTAGCATGATATGTAGATACTGAAAAAATGGAAACAATAATTTATAAACATACAGCACAATGATGAAGGAAAGAAAAACTGGAAACTGATTCAGCTCTTAAGAAAAAACTTCAATGTGGGGCATGAACATTTTATCTTTTTCCCTTCCTTAAAAATATTTCTTGAAACAATCTAGTTTTACTCACTCTCATTCTGTACTTTTCAATCAGATTTCTGATTACTAATTTGATTCCCTTACACTTTTCACAAAATTTTGGACTTGATTTCTGAAAAATCCTTCCTGATATAGCATATTTCAGTTCATTCTGAAAACAAACAAAAGAATATTTTAATTCAGGGTTACGAGGGGAAAGTAATGGAATTCCTCACAGTCTGAGGGAAAGGGGGGGACAGAAAGTTTGAACCCCAGGGGGTTAGCTTTGGAACAAGTATTTGTTCCAGGGAATCGGTCAACCCATGGTAGACTAGTACCTGGACTTTAACCAGCCACTCAAGGTACCAGTGACAGTGGGGCAGAAGACAGTCTGAAGTCCAAGCAAGCTGAAAGCTTAGATGAGGGACCCCTGCAAAACTCTAAAACCTCTAAAGAACAACATCCTCAGTGAAAATTAAAACAACAACAACTCATTGCACAGAAGGGGAAAGGATGTCTAACTAGGTCTTAGTTCCAGATAGAGTTAAAAAAGCAAATCCCCCTAAGAATGTCTAACCACAGTTCTGTACTCATATGATAAGTTTAAGGCAAAATTTTACAGTCTCTATGAACTCCAGGTCCTCAGCCAAAATGTAGAATAAAGTGGTCCTGCGTTTCTAGTAATACAGGCGTGAATACTTAGAAGAAGCAGATATAAATCCCCTCTCTAAAAGTACACTTTTCAACTCCAAATATTCCAGCAGATGAAGCTCTAAAAAATACAAATTCAAAATTATAAATTACTGAATAAGAAAGGAAACATCCCACCATGAACAAGGAGTAGTAAAATAAAAAAAAAAAAAGAACAAAACTCACAAAAATTTCACGTATTGAAATTTTTGGTCAGCTATAGAATACATATGTGATAAATAAGATTAAATAAGTAGAGCAAAAGAACGATTATCAAAATTGACCAGATGTGAAAATGAATCAAATAGCAATCCTAGAAAGAGAGAAATACAATATTTAAAATCAATGGCTTAATAATACATAAGATAGCTACTGAAAAGGGTATTGAACTGGATAGATTTTTTGAGTACATAATTAATATGGTTTGTATTTATGAACTTAAAAAATCTCATCTTGAATTTTAGTTCCCATAATCTCCATGCATCATCATGGGAGGGATCTGGTGGGAGGTAATTTACTCATGGGGGCAGTTACCCTCATGCTGTTCTCATGATAGTGAGTGAGTTCTCACAAAATCTAATGGTTTTATACGGGGCTTTTCCCCTTTTGGCTCAGCACTACCACTTGCCTGCCAACACACAAGATGGGACTTTGCTCCTACTTCACCTTCCACCATGATTGTG